CCCCCCCCAATCCACTACAAAATTGTTTTCCCTTTTAAACATTACCTTGACATAAAAGGGTACACCATCAAGCAACGGTTCAGGTTCATGCAACCAGTCTTCCCTCAGCTCTGAATAATTAGCACATTATCATTCATTAAACAGTGTATAACACACACAACAACTTTCTTAATTAACAGAAAAACAAACATCAAATAAAAAACCCACGCTGTAAAAACATAAGCAATTTTAAAAAATAGTTATCTCAACAACCAAAAACTGTATGCATATAACACACACAACAACTTTCTTAATTAACAGGAAAACAAACATCAAATGAAAAACACACGCAGTAAAAACATACGCAATTTTAAAATAATAGTTATCTCAGCAACCAAAAACTGTATGTAAATTGAATTATAGCTTGAGCTGTCAGTGACAGTAAATAATAACAGTGATATTTAACAATAAGCCAAAAACCAAGTTAAAAGTCCAATATAGTAATAAATGTCACAGTAATATATGTCATATAAATTTCAATAGCAATTCTGCCAATATATTGTTGCTTTCTTTAAATTAACATATTAGAAAAATCATTTTCTTAATGTCTACGAATTCAACATTTTTGGTATAGGAAAAAAAATCAGATCTATATAATCAAAAAATGTACATTTTAAAAGCAATTGACACCTATACAGCCTATATGAAAAAAAGTCAATAAGGACTGAGAAAACACTATATTTTTAAAGCTTAGTAGTAAAAAAATAAAAACAAAAGCCTTTAAAAATGATATTAAAAACTTTACATGATTTGCTCACAATATACAAGCAAAATAGATATTAGAAAAATATATTCTAAAGCGTGAAAAATTTTTCAATGCAATTAATAAAGAATAAGTCTTTTTCATAAATAGGAAACATAAAATAAATGAATATCAATTTACAAAATAAAAATCCTTCTAGGAAATTAAACAACACAAATTAATTCAAAATAATATTTTACCTTGGTAGCAAATAAATGGTCTGAAATACAAAAGCATATTCATAGCTCTGGTTTTAAGACCTTGCAGTCTATTTTTTCTTGATTTTCGTCTGCTATGTCTGCCAAAACAGACTTCCTCCTCATTTTCAATTTTCAATTCTCTTAGCCTTTCGAATCCACGATTTTTCTTGAAAAACAGTTTCATCTTGAAAAATTGAAGCCCAGGCCTTATTATATAGAATAAATGTATACACAGCAAAAATGTAGTTGCTTCAAACTGTCGAATGATAAGCTCCGGAGTTCTTATCTGAGAACGACCAAAGCACATTGAAATAATGGTGTTAAAAACATGAATATTAATAGGTGTAGGCTGTGTGAAAACCATCTGCTTTTTTAAAAGGCTTCTATTATAGTGACATCTAAAGCTCCTACATTTTTATCACTTGTACTGTCTCCAATTGGTCAATGAGTATAAAGAAGTATAAAGATTAAAATTCCAATTAATTACCATCGAAATAGCATGTAAATCATCATGTTCAAAGGTCAGCCAATTGGCCATTATTGTGTGAACCTATACCAAGAAAAACATGCAAATCAAGCTCCATAATTGATACAGAAATAGTTATTTATAGACCAATTATAATACGGTAACAAATAAGTGAATAATATGTGACATTTAAATGTAAATATGCATTATCTTTTTATAGTTACACTATCATAGTATTTTTTCATTTAATATTTTTCCTGTCTGTATTTTATTCTTTTATTCAGCTCAAATAGATTAAGACAGCTAATGCAAACATATTGTCATTTTAATATTTTTGGGCAATTTTACAGCCTGTTTCATGTTTCAGACGTCTGGAGCTTTAGCTCCTGTCAATCAAAGATACTACTGACCTAGGGTACCCAGGGGTAATGATCAACATAATTTTATCCATGGCTGCCTGAGGATGCACCGTCCATGTAATAATTGAATTTATTCCTAAAAAATTTTTTTAAATTATATCTTCATTTTTTATATCTTCCTTAGACAAATATTTTTTAACTTTAAGAAAAAAATTTAACAAGATTGTGCAAAACATTTTACAAGAAAAACCCCTCATTTTTCTTGCAAAGTGCCAAATTTTTCCAATTCAAAAACTGGGATTGCTTTATTTGTCCTTATTTTCTATTTTTTTCTTCCCTTTTTGAATTAAAAAATATAGGGTACCCACCTTGCTTCCACAACTATGTCAAAAATCCACTTGAAGAAGTGCAATGACTCTTCAAAAAATTAGTCCTTTGGGCTATTCGTTCGTTTTATCTAATGATTGACTTTCGATTTTTTGTAGATTTCTCTTTTTCGCATTTATAATAAGAATTTTCGAGAATTTAAAAAAAATTGAACAACTTTAGAGGGCAAAACATCCTGCATAGAAGGAGGAAAAGGGCGCCATTACCTCAAAGTTTTGATGGAATTTGAGTTGTTTCATTTGCATATTCTTGCTTAGACTTAGACTGATTCCATTCGCGAGCGAAAACTACGAGTTATGGAATCAGTCTAGCTTAGGCTCGATCGCATCCCAAAAAAAATGGAAAAAAGATCTAAGTCATATCTATTTTCATGGGAATATCAAACTATAAATGAAACAAAATAATAAACAAATTTAATTGAAATAATAATCTAATCATTAAACCTGTTGTAATTATAGACATATAGACCCCCTACGAGGTTCTGCTCTTGGGGTTAATATGAAAACAAATGTTTAAATAAAAATAAATAAAAATAACTGAAATAATATCTGATTCAATACTCTATCTTTCTCTCTATATTCTCCCTTTTATTGAAAACATAAATAACCATAAATGAACGAAAATGATTAAAAAAATCGTGCAGCTATCCTGGTTGCTGAAATATTTTCATTAAGTAAAGCATGCACGTCAATGAACCATTTACCGGGATTAGTTTGATACATCTAATATGGCAAAACAGTTTTGGGATATTGTAATTTTCTAAAATATGCTCCAAAAGGATAAACGATTTTGTTTTCAGGTGGCGTGTGTTTACTGAATTTATATCGCTTAGCTGGTGTTTGTATTCATATTTTACTCCCAACGGGTAAATAACGCAAATATATACATATATATAGCACGCCCAAAGCCTAATTATTTTGTTAAAATCTTATCTTAAAATATTTTATGCTGCGAGTTATACTTAAGAACAAACAGAAACGTTTTCTTCGATATCGATGCTATAACATCTATGCAAAAATAATTTTGGAAGAAATACTCTTCTAAAAGAGTAACACCAAATTGTAATCGAAACTGTTAAAAAAAATAATAATAATTCCACGAGTCGATTGTTAATGCAATTGAATTGCAAAGGTTGAAATACAAAGTCGAAAACCACACGGGATGTTTGAATACAATGAAACCTTTCCGATGACAAAGAAAAATAATTTTATTGTCGAGCGGAAAAAAACTATATATTGGTCTACACGAAACCTTTTAATATCGAGCGCTGTCAAAAACCAGCTTCCGTGTGTAAACAATACGTCGCCTAAAGAAACCCTATTAAATGAAAAAATAATCACACATTCAGAGAGAGCTTCACACTACTAAACACAATTTCTACGAATGAAACTTAAATATTAACCAATATCACCGTCTATAACCATAGAATAATATCAAGCTTTAGTTGTCAGAACACAGGTCAGTATTCCGCTATAAAATTTACCACCTGGAAGAGAGAATTACCGCCAAAGCTTCGAGGCCTTTTCAAAATTAATTGCATCTGCCAAGCGAGTGGGACTCAAATCAACCACTGAAACGTTTATTGACATCGATAGATTGATTTAACATCATCAATATCGCTTCGAAGGCAACTGATCTATGAAAATATTACTCGTTTTAAGTTATGTTGACTTTATGCTAAGTTTAGATTCATTGCAAGGGATACTTGTAGATTATTGTAGTCTATCATTACCTTGATGATGGTTCAAGTTGTCATATTGCTTAGTGATCTTTTTTCTTATGACTTGTGGGCTTCTTTTGACTTTTTCCGCCACAGTCTTCAAGGAATGCATTGTGTCAAGAAATCCCTGCTCAAGAAAATACAGAGTATATCCGGCTACGGGCCTTGTCAAGTGGAAACTGAGAGTAAGAGTGACCTTTATACGATAATCCGTGGGTAACGAGGAGAAACTGGTAACTAAGGAAAACCGGAAACGGAAATCAGGTGAGCTAGAATTATTATGACTGTAGGACTGTATAAGTGATTGATGCTTGACCAATCCCAAGAACATAGTTCTTTTCTGGGATAGCGAAACATGGTGCATTGTTGAGCTTCGGTACAAACATCTTTTGTTCATCATGCCTTATGTGGTCTTGTTTGTATCCAAGCTAGACCCCAATGCATCCTGTTTATCGAACTCAGAAAAGGCCTTTGTCAGCCATGTTGGTGGTATTATCAAAGGCAGCTAATGCTAAACCTTTCGTTACTGCTACCAACTTGTCCACGAAGAATAGCTGCTTTGCACTCATTCCCAGAGACCTTAAAATATCAAAAGACACGGCGGCGATGTTGTTCAGTAACAAAACTGAGACTAATCACAAATCCTTCGTTAAATTCATCCAACCGGGCGGCATGAAAAACCAGTCACAATAAACAACATTGCGTATAACTGAAAAACTCACGCCGCTACGGACGTACCGTGCTGTGACTTTTCTTTGGTTGAGCCGATCAAGCATGAGCTTTGATTGGTTCAACGATATCGTCAATTTAGGGACCGTGTGACACTTGGCGTGGTATGGCCACACACATTTGCTTAAACCATGGCGCTAATTAGCGCAAACTAAAATAAACGCCTCATTAGTTTTTTTTTTTCAGTACAGTATATTTTAATGAGTCTCCATATAAAGCCTGGTTCACACGAGCAACGCATACGCAAACGCAAGCACAAACGCAAGACGTGGTTCACACGAGCAACGCATACGCAAACGCAAGCGCAAACGCAAACGCAAGCAATGTTCACACGTACAACGCAAATGCAAGTAAATTAAGATACGCATGCGCAGTAGTGATTGTTTATAGTTCACACGTATTTTCCTTGCGTTTGCGTTTGCGTTGCTCGTGTGAACCACGTCTTGCGTTTGTGCTTGCGTTTGCGTTTTCACCGGTTCACACGTTAAAAACGCAAACGCAAACACAAACGCAAGCACAAGAAAATGGAAAATTTTCCATTCCTTGCGTTTGCGTGTGCGTTTGTGTTACTGTAGTTCACACGTAGTTTTCTTGCGTTTGCGTTTGCGTTTGCGTTTGCGTTTGCGCTTGCGTTTGCGTTTGCGTTGCTCGTGTGAACCAGGCTTTACAATACATACTCTCTCTTGCCACGAGGATTTTTTTACCGGGTTCTCCGGTTTTCCTCCCTCCGTACAAATCAGCAAGTGAGTCGACCGTTGTGCGAATAAAATAGTAAATGTAGTGGTAGTGAATGTGAGTGAAAGCAGGCCCACATCAGCGAAAGCTGCAAAAAAAATCAACCTACTCTAGCAATTATGAGATTATTATTAGCTTATTATTAAGAGTGTTAAGCTTGGTTTGTCTGTGATATCATTACACTTTATCTCGGCGCCATACAATAACCTAATTCTACTAAAAAAGGAACGTCGACCATCTTTTTATTGTGCCTATCTTATCTCAGCAGCTATGAAACGTCTAAAAACGTCTAAAAGCCCTCACTCTTGCGTTAAATGCTTTAAATATTTTACGTCTCAATTGCCTTACACTTGAGCAATTCAATTAAGTAATGCTAAAAGGTCCAAGGCTTATCCCTAAAACGTCAGTGATTCAGATTAATGTAATCATAACCAGACATTATTTCTACCTTCTTTTATTCTGTTTATCTCCTGATTCTACGGTTTTTATCCCTTCGCAATTCCAATTAAATCTGTGAGTTAGCCATGCCCTG